GCAATCAAAAAGCAATCAAACCAAATAAGGGACCGAAGGTGCAGAAATGATGTTGAAAGCGAAGTGCACAAGAAAAAGGAAAATCAGAGTACACAAGATTTTTTTTTTTTTTTAATAAGAGACGAATGGTCAATTGAAAACATTATCACCGATTGAATAGTATCATCGTATATGGTGAAATACTTTCTCCGATTATCGCACGCCATTACTTGATGTGTAATCATAGATGTTATCAATTGTGCCGAGTGTAATCAATGAAATCACGAATTTCAAGATTTATTTGTTTCATTGTCCACTTACTCAAACAGCACTACTGGTTCGTTAGCAAAAAGTATCTTTTTGTTGGTAAATGATTTGCCTCGTGCCTCCTCTAGTCTTACAATTCTGAAACATGAATGAATGGCACATTCTGTCCTTAAGCTCATTATGCTATCTAGCGTAAAAAAATGTCAAGTGCCGAGTGCGTCTCTTTAAGTTACAGTATGCACGTACATTAAAACATTCTTATGTGACTATAATAATAAATGTGTTTATTGTACGATGTGCAAACACAACGAAAGATCTTACATGACAGACAGCACGGTGTATGGTGTATGAATGGTGCTCGATCACTAAGGTACTTAAATCGAAAAAAAGCCGTGCGCCTCCTCTCTCTCTCATCCATCACCGTTATCCATCATCACCTTGACATTTCAATTTTATCACACACATTCATTTTCTTGTCGGTTGTCTGCTATCACGAAACACTGTACATTTGCATAAAAACGCGTAATATATTATTAAAGTAACGTCACGTACTGTACGTACTCAAATCGGTTATGCGTGATCAGGAAGTATCGTCCCATCACTTCACCCAGCATATATATATTCCAAAGGTGATTTCTCGTTTAATGAAGAGTCGAGTAGAACACACCGAGATGATTAGAATCCGAATTGGTAGAACAAGAGACATGCTTATAACCTTCTCCGCGTATGCTCATCGATGCACCACTAATTCAATAACCACTGATCATGCATGATTTTTTAATTTCAAACGCCTATACTATATACGCATATGTATTTACGATATTAAAAAATGTATCCGGTGATGCGGTGGATGATAGATGTTATCGCAGTGAATTTAGTTAGTTAGTTAGTTAGTTAGTTAGTTAGTTACATTTGGAAAATAATGTGTATATGTTATTAAAATATTCTACGCCGAATGGATCTTGTCGACATCCTCACCTTTCCGAAGATTTATTATTACCAAGAGTGAAAAAAAAAACCCCCCACCGAATTCTTGTAAATGGGTATGTACTGTATATTCGGTGTATATATTTTTGCATTACACTATATTATTGTTCCCTTTGTGTGGAAAGCGTTAATGAATCTTTGACTAATCACGAATAAATGACTTGTACAGTATACTACTACTCTATGGTTGATCAGGTGCGCAGGCTCCTTTTGATTTTTGTTGATCTGGTCAAGTCATTTCTATTCGCCTCCGATAAAGATTAAGGGATACACAACATGACATGAGACTCTGACCCTTCGGTCTCCAAAATAAATCCAAAGATGGAAAAAAATAATTATCACTTTCACGAAATCTTGAGTGAACGTATTAAGTCTCTAAAATCAAATGAAATTAAAATGCACAAACCGGAATTTTCCAGGTTGAGGAGGATGCGACGCAGGAAATTCTTCTACCTAGGAATTTCCTATCTCAATCGACACGTCTTTCTTGGAAAAACAAAGCCACAAAACTTGACTAAGGAATCCGATAGATAATAAGAACATTTAATAACTCCGTGTATACATCAAAATTATGTATGTAATAAAATTTTCATCTAATAACGCGTTATCCACCCCAACATTCACGGGATGTGTGCTCGCAAACGCATGAATGATACCGATATTCATTTTTGACAAAATAAGAGATGTATTCATAAACTTAACGTCCGTAAACAAATAACCACAAATATGGTATGTAACGTATGCATATCCATTATTAATATGTATCGATGTATGGAATAAACTAATTGTCAATCTGCCTTTCCTGACATTCTTTAGCCGTAAAATAATTCCTAATAAACATTCTCAATTACCCTTAAGTGTTTTTAGAAACCAATAGTCCTATCAATATTCCCACTCCAATAAGTCAAACAGGATCAGGCAGGACAGTCGTTCAACCGAAAAAAAAAATTAAAAATTAAAAATAGACTTACTGGTATGTACTGTATGTACTGTACTGTGATACAGTATGTACGCAAAAAAAGACCGCAAATTACACCAATTAATAAAGTACATTCCATGTCGTTTCCAAATTTGGTGCACAATATACAAGGTGGTAGATTTTATGTGCTGTAATGTTCTTTGATACATGCATGTTGGAAAGAACAAGCATTCTAGTCTTCCGTCAGCTACTTTCAGATAATCGCAGTAGCGTAAAACTAGGAGGCATGGAAGTTCGAGTAAAAAGAATGTTATGGAAAGAATCGATCTTGGAATATTTGATCTTCAAGAAGGTCTTCGTGAGGAAAACTTGTTTCGTTCGTTAATAAATGTTCCAACATTTTCCGGTACGTCGTAACCACCGTACGCTCTCCGGTGTTACCAATTGTTCTTATTCATGGGTACATATTCTAGTTATCTTTCACACTTATAAATAAGGAAAATAACAAACAACCATGCATAATCCACCGTCATCATGTTTGATACTTTTGGTTAAGCATAGACGTGTGCCTTACATGCTATGCGAGGGAGTTGTGAGAACACCGTCTTGCGTGATTTGTGACTTAGGCATAGCGATCAATGATAAACGATACCGAGCATTTGCGTGAAAGTCATCCCAAGAATTGTGCTAAACGTGATTGGCATGTGTGAAAAGGAAATGTCGCAGATTGCTTCAGAAAATACAATAATGAAACGCATAGGCCGCCTATAGAACTATTGAACCATTTTTTTTTTTTGCATACAGCATAGCGGAAATTTTTTATTCATGACAAAATCCTTGCATTTTTAATGATTTTTATTTAAAATAATAATTATTATTATAATAATTATAATAATTTGATGATACTGTAAATTAATTAATTATATTAATGTCTCGTCAGCTTGTCAAAATAAAAGTAAAATAATTTAAAAAATATGTTGTATATGTATGCATTTATTTATCTTAATTTAAGAATAAGAAAATTTTATGAAAAAAATTGATTTTGACAAAATCCATAGTTTCATTAAATCATAAGACTAATTTGAAATAGCTTTGATGTATCAATCATTAAATAGAAAAAACATGTAAAATCAAAAATCATGATTATTATTGATTCAAAAGTATTTTTCATAAAAAAGAATTTAATTTAAAATTCTTAAGAAATTAAGTTGAGAACAAATATAATTTTTTTTTATTTTATTAAATCTTATTCTTAAAATAAAAATAACAAAAAAAAATAATATATTTATTAAGAAATATATAAATTTTTTTAACATTTATTCTTTTAATTAAAATTTTTATTAAAAAAAATCATAAAATTTGCTTATTAAAAATCTAAAATATTTATTAATAAATAAAGATATATTGTATATAATTTGCTTAAAAAGATTGAATAAAATTTAAAAATATATTTTTAAAATATAAAATAAAATATTAAGCTTCTTTAATATTTCATTAATAAATTTATTTATAAATTAAAATTATAAAAATAATTTATACTATATAAAAGTTTTGAAAAAAACTATTTACAAATTAAAAAAATTAATCAAGCAACTTAAAATTTAATAAATTAAAATTATTATAAATAAAATATAAAATTAAAAAAATTTTGTTTAAAACTTTTTAAACAAATTATATTTATATATTATTATTATTATTATTTGCTTTTAATTAGATTATAATTCTATGTATTTATTAATTTTATAAAAAGCAATAATATATTATATCTTAAAACATTATATTCAAACTAAACTATACATATTATAAAATACTTATTAATAAGTTAATTATATATTTATATATAATATTTGAATTCTTAATATTAAAATTATTGTATTGTTTATATTATTTAGTTATTTACTAACATTTTACTACAAGTAAATGAATTGATTAATTAAATTATTATTATATAATATTAACTATTTTAAATTTTTCAAATCTTATCTTTTTAAGTATAATTGTAAAAAATTATAAAATTGCTTCTTTTTCAAGACTGTCCTTAATTTTGAAAAAAATTAAAATTAATTTATATTTAAATTATAGATATATATTATTTGTCTCATTAACAATAATATAGAATTTGTAAATTATATATTTAAATAGATATTTAATAATATTTTTAAAATAATTAAATTTTATTATATAAATAAAAATAATTCATATATACTGTATATATATTTAATTTTAAAAAATTATTTATTAATAACTTCTTATTATTAATAACCAGTTAATAGAAATAATATACTTGATATTAACAATTATTAAAAATTTTTTATAATTATTTCTTTTTATTAAAGAAAATTGATTAAAAATAAATTATCATATGTTGCTATTATACAGTACAAGTAAATAGTCCATACTTATTATATCAGATTAAATATAATATATAAATTTCACTTAGATAATATTGGATTAAATAATACAATAACATTCTCTTTCATATTTTTACTAATCACTGTTAAAAATACTTTTTTTTTTTTTTTTTTTTTAATCCCGCAATCAGGTTGGTGTCGTTTATTTATTTAATCATAAAGAACCAT